ACCATGAAACCATGATCATTAGACAGCAACATTCACCACGAAGATTCCAATAACAGAATACTTGTCAAAGAATATAATTTTACCAGTGTCGATACATTCTCTTTATTGTGGCAAAGGTATTTAGGCATTTCAGACAAATATTGTCATTCACTGAAGTACTGTATATGTTCCTCCCAAATGAGTGGGAGGTTGCATTCATTATTTGAAGAATGTCTGAACCCTAAACCTAACCTACCCAAACCCTTGGCTAGGGTTAGAGATAGGATTTCTACAAAACGTAGAGAATATTTGATGGTATGGCTGTGGTTTAGAACAGAAATGGAATTTAGGAAATGTTATTTTTCAATGTTATCTTCATTTGTTTTCTTGTATGGGTCTTTACACAGCATTGCCCTAACAGGCTCTGTATTGTAAACTGCTCTAAAAGCAATAATTTGAAGGAATGTGATTATAAATTTGAAATTCTTGCATTTGGCATTAAAAGCCACTGGGGCAGTGCAGTGGCTAAGGATCTGTGCCTGTGGCTGGAAGGTTGCCGGTTTGTATCCCGCGGCTGGCATAGGAATCCTACTCCATTCGGCCCCTGAGCAAGGCCCTTAACTCCAGCTGGTCCAGGGCCGCCATATAAATGGCTGACTGTGTGCTCTGACCCCAAGCTTTCCTCCCTGTCTGTGTGTCTCATGTGTCGCACCCTCTACGGATAGAGGGCGCTCCTACTCTGTCCTGTTCCTAGTTTTCCTGTGCTTTGCTTGTCCTTCCGGTGTGTCTTTGTGTGGGGCTATATTTCCAGTTCACCCTTTGCTCCTTGCTCACTATTGAGGGTACAGATGTCCCGAGGTTTCTTTATCGACATCATCTGACCTGCTGACCCCAGGCTAACTGCCGTTTTGCCGCTACGCATAGGGACCTTATTGCTCTCCTGGCAATTCCATGGCATGCCTTCCAACATCCGTGACATCATGGAGAGCAAGTTGGGGTATGCAAAGACAAATTCCTAATACAGGAAATTGTATATGGCCAATAAAGTGATCTCTCTTAAATATTAAGACAAAATGTATTTGGTATTCCTGACTCCCACCGTATTTAACCAGGGAACCATGTTCATTTGACAGCAGCATTCACCATGAAGATTCCAATAACCGAATACCTGTCGAAGATCTGAATTTTACCATTGTTAATACTGTTACAAATGGGAGGTTACAAAACTGGTAAGAATCACCAATTGACCAAGCAGTTTAGTCAATCAGCAAAATCATTATTCATAACCCCCAACTTGTACAGGTACGTGATTTCTAACCATATACTCGAGTGGCTGGTATAATTAGAGGAATGTGAATTTTTATTCTCTGGCACAGCTTTGTTGAGATGAGTAATAATCCAGGCATACTTGGCTAAAACAAATATTTATTATAATAAACTACACAAGACACAAAACATACAACACAGCAAGTTACATTATATTTTTAATGGGGCTGGACAGATATTTTAAAACAATGACACAACACACAAAAAAACACATAAAGTTACATTATATACAGTATTTACAAACAAGGCGTTTCAGAGGCCTAATATTCTGGTCACCCAGGAAGCCCCAAACTGCTACTAAGCACTAAACTCGTAATATGCCTACAGAGGCCACACAAAAGATGAGCTGCCTTCTAACTGAATACAAAGCAACCTGCAGTTAGATCTCTCTCTCTCTGCACCCTGGATGCCACCAAATAAATGGGAGCCTACTGTATATCCTTATCCATAAAATGCACCCTAATCAGGAAATACATTTTTAACTGAGGTATCTTTTACTCTGGCAACCCAGGTTCCCTGAAAACACAGAAAAAGCATGCTCTCTCTAACAAAGTTCAAATACTTAGCTCCAGTCAGGTTTTGTTTGGATGATCATGAAGTAGGAGCTCTCATCTGGCGCAAGCTTCAAGACCTAACTCCTCTGGACTTCTCTCTCCTCTCCTTGCTCTCTTTGTTTCTTCCTTCTCCTCCTGCTTCTCTCCTTCTTCCTCTTGCCTCTTCCCCCCTTCTCTTAAGATGAACTTATACTGTGTCTTTCTGTCCTGCTCCTTTGCAATCATTAATCCACAACTTGTCTAAGTATACTAAGATAAACTTTACTATTGTTTCTGCTCACAGGGACCCCCAGACCTCACCGCAAATATCCCCTCTGCTTTGAAGCTAAAAGTGTTTACTCTTCCTAGTGTCACAAACTTTATCTAAAATCTAAGAGACACTTCTCAAGTCACCCAAAGCTGTAACAATACATTCTCTTTATTGTGACAAGAGTGATGAGTCATTTTTAGATTAACATTGTCATTCAGAAAAAAAAGTATATTTTCCTCCCAAATGACTGGAAGGTTCATTAATTAGTTGAAGTCTGAATCCTAAAACTAACCCACTCAAACCCTTAGCTAGGGTTAGGGTTAGGATTCCTACAAAACATAGAGAATGTTTGATGGCATGGTTTGGCATAATGGCTGTGTTTAAGGACAGAAATGAAATTTAGGAAATTTGATATTTAAATAAATAGCATTTCATACCATATACCTGACGTTGGCCAGCGGTGATTCCAGAATGCCACAGTCCAGCAGGTTTAATGGATTACCTTTAAATCATCTGTTTGTAATGACTTGCAACAATTTCCTTCTAACAATTGAGGAAGATGTTTTTTTGCAATTAAGTAATTTAGTGATCAATTGAATTGAAGATGTCCAAATTACTTGCAGATCTCAAATACCAATATAACTGTTCTGTACTTAAATAAACCAATTCAGTTGATTCAACATACAGTAACTCACAAATTCTTAAATGTCTTAACAAAATGTTATCTTAAAGGAGACTTGCTGGACTGTGGGTCTCCAGGACCTGAGTTGACTACACCTGCCTCTTTATGTGCTCTGACAAAGCTGTTCTTAGACTATATCAGTTTCAGTTTCTGACACCTCTGATGGCTTTTCCCAATTTACGGAAATCTTGAATTACCCACAATACCCTTGTTCTCCTTTATATGTACATACAGCACCTGAAGACAATTCACAAAGCTTTGTTATGACTGATATCTAAATTTAGTGGTCTGACACATAATGTCTGAGACCCTTGATTGATTGAGTTTGGTTTCATGTGTCTGGATGCTCTTTCTAGATGTCTAGGCTAATCTTTCACCTCTTCCACCTTTTCTGTGTCTCTGAGAGTTTATCCTAATACTATAGTGTAGCACTTCACCCCCCAGAATGGCCTGTTCCAGTGACTCATCCTCTTTCCCCTTAGGCTCAGCCCTTCCTTCCTTTTTACCCGATAAAAGCAGGGAGGAATCCAATTTTTCTCTATTGCATTTTTTGTAAATAAAAGGGCAATAAAGCTTCCCTTGTGAGCCTTAGGAAAGTCTCCTCCAGCTTATTACTCCTCACACTGCTGGAGAGTGGCTCATCGCTATAATACTCCTCTCCATTACTTCTCTGTAGTCTTTCTGTAATTTCAGTTACATTAGTGTTACTGTATAAGCCAAGCATGTACAACAGAAGCACACAAATTGTACACTCATTGCACACAGTCACACCTGGCAGATATTGTGTTTGTAGGCCAAATGATACAGATGTTATCATTATCATTGTCAGTATGGTTTCTCAGTGGAATTGAAAGCGAAGACTACTACCAAAAACATGGCACCCACAATTCTTTAGCACTTCTTTATTTTTTTTAAATGTACAGTAATTTTTCTCTTAGCAACATTAGTAATTTTGGTAGTTATGTAGTAATGTTTAACTTTTTAAAAACAGCATTTATTTCCTGTCTAAGAGAGATTATATTTCTCCAACAACTGATCTTCCAAATAATTATCGCGGTCTTCCCAAACACCCTATCTGTCTGCTGCAAGATTCAGGTTGTGACACATGTACAATTCTATTTCTTAATATTAAAATTTTCAGATTCAGTACAATACTCAAAACAACTGCCTTCAGTCATGCTGCCCACACTACAGCTAAAAAACAACAGATTATTTTTAATACAGCAAAGGATTTTGCAGAAATGTTGCTACTTTGACTATACCATTCTGGTAAAATATTGTTTGGCGAGGATAGAGACAGGGACTCGGGCTCTTGTTAACTGAAAACAAGGCTCTCTTTATTAATCGGACGTGCGTCCGGCACAGCAACTACAACAAAAAGGGAGAGATAACGAGCTACAACACACTAGGGTCAATTCGGGTGCAGTTACAAAGGTATGGTGTGGTAATTGGGTACATGTATACCCATGAGTCCGGGCGATCTCGCGTCTGTGTACATCGGCTCTCCTACTACAGCAGGCACCACTACTACCACGTTCCTGCCCCTCACCGCGCACCCCAGCCGGGCGCTCTTCGGCCAGCTGTTAGTAGTCATGGTTTACTGACGTCACTAATAAAAATCATTGTTTTCGAGGCTACTTTTCTATTACTCCTACAGCAAAGAGTTATCATTATTTTTTGCGTTACTTGCTATTTGCCCCCTCCCGTGCTGAATGCCAAACAAGACATCTTCTGATATTCGAAATTGAGCTGATTTGAGAAAACAATGAATTTGTCGTTTGTCTGTGGCACCATGGAGAGATAGAACGAATTTGGTTCATTGTGTTGCCAAATCCCTTTTCTTTTTAGTCTCAAGTTTTGTCCAACTATACCTGCACGTAGTGCATAAAGCATGAACAGAGGACTTGTTCCCCCCAGCAGGTTTACAAGTTAAGATTTACAGTAGTACAGTACTTCTCGCCCCATTCTGATACTCGTGTTCTCGGGGCGCTAAGAGAAGTTGCACTTAATTGATACATCTGTTTGATGTTGAGCATCTGGCTGTGCTGCTCATTTACAGTCGCGAAACAACTGTTTTTTTCTATTTATAAACGAGTTTCCCTCGTTGCCATCATCGTGTGTGATCATCATCATTACTATAAGTACTGTAAATCTAGTAGTTCTCAAAAAATCTCCTTTAAAAAAATCTGTCATCTGAACAGTAATTTGCACTATGTTCTTGGTTCTTGTTTTGACACTGAAGGTCGTTGCTCGTTGTCATTGCAGAAATTAATCGCTGGTTCCTTGAGGTCGTCGTGTTTTCTTCCCCTTTCCGCTAGCTGTGTGTGTGACCAAGGTGAAAAGACTCTGTTCAAATGTGGTTACACTAGACAGATCGGGCTCCCCTGGAGTTCACCTCTTCCGGCTTCGATCAGTCTCTGATCTCGTTGCTGCTGTTTTCCATTTTTGGAGATTATTCCCAGACAAGGGGCGTGGGTTGCTGAAATAATACAGCTTGCTTTCTTTGTGTGGATTTTTATAATCATCGTCGTGTTTTTAATACTATATAACCAAAACGAAATGGACTCTATACTTAACTACATTTCGGGTAAATGAAACGTGTTTTTCTTCAAAGTTAACCGAAGTAAAATTAAATATTACGCGTAAATACGAACATTGCGGTCGGTGCTCTACACTGACAGCGTGGAACATACGTGGTGTCTCCCTTGAGCGTTTTCCTTAAGTAACAGCTGATCTGATGGCAATTGCAAGGAGCCGCTTTGTAAATATTCTGTGTGTCTTTCGCGATATGAAAGTCGTTTTGTGATAAGGACAGCATACTTCGCTCTTTCTTCCTCTTTGGTTTTCTTATACTTGGAGCTGCTATTTTACAAAACAGAAATGAAGAAACGTCACTCTGGTATTATTTTGATAATCTGGATATTTTTAGAGGTGAGTAACGTCTGTCCGTTACGTCGTTTTGTTTACAGGAACCCCGTAACTCAATGCTACCACCCTTCATTTTATCGGAAGGAAAATAATTCGTAATAAAAATCTGAAATGTGCCCAAACAAAACTATAAAAGGTTATACGTTGTAGCAGAAGGAAATAGGAAACATAAATCACATTTTAAATAATAGGAAGCGATAATTATAACGTGTTGTTCAAGTGTTTTTGTATTCTGACAAGCTTGCGGTATTTTTGTACTGTAATCTTTGGGTATAGAAAGCGGGGTTCTGGCAGCGAAGAGCTTTATATGAATAGTTTTATTGGGGGCAGTACTTGTCTGGAGCTACAAATTAGAAACACTGTGTTGGGATACCGGTTCCAAATTGAACTGAATGAGCGTAACACTGGTCTTCTTACAAGTAAAGAAAGAAATCGTAATTTCGGCAGTATATTACAGTATGTGGAACTAGGAAGTTTAGTCTTTTGATCCCTTTCAATGGCCATTTAATATATGCAAAGGAATACTATGCATGATATTCTTGTTGTATACAGTTACACACATCCATATACAGTAAACTGGCAGCACAATGTTTTATACTTTTTGTTCTTTTAATGTTTCAAAAGGGAAGATGGTGTATCTTATTGCTCGTGTTAGAGCATTAGCGTTCTTGCTTGAAATTGAGAAGAGAAGCTGAACTACAGCAAATAATCAGAAATACACCTATGTGGGATACTTTGATGTATCTTACATTTCTAGTGTCAAAGATCTCTGGGATTTAGTTTTTCACTTCGTTTACTGATTCTTTAATTGGAAAGAACAAAATGGAAATATTTCGCGTGTATTGTGAATAACGCAGTTTTTTGGGGGATAACATCAGGTTATATGTTTGCACTTTCATTTATTTCCGAGACTACCTAAAAGCTTACCCAACATAAACTGGTTGTTTAAATGTCTGCAACTCGATAAACCTAAGAAGTGCTACTGTAGGTACAGTAAATCTGAGTGCTATGCAGTGAAAGTCTTCCACTTTCCAGCCATCATTATTCTTATTGACATTAAAAATAATTGTTTAAAATGTGGGTCACACTGTGATATAGTAATGTGCAATTTCAAGCTTTACACTTGAAATTATACATAGTGAGTGGTGAAATACATTTTGTTAATTTACATACTCACTAATTCACATAATCTTGTGAATTATTATTTTGACTTTCAATAATAAAATGCATGTACAGTAAGTTTGCACAGGAAGTTGGCCTTTATATACCAATTACTGCAATATTCCAGCTCCCAAAGGAATGTTCTCTATTTGCTATTATAAATTGCTGTAGTAAAGCTGTGTCTTAATTACCTAATCATTTCATTGAAATGTGCGGCTTTAAAATATGCATGACATTAGATTTAAGGTTAAAGTTTTAATTAACAAAAATGTATTTGGAAACATCTATTAAAATGAGTACTTTTTTCAAATGGCTACTTATTTTCACAATGGACATTTCTCAAATGTATCTGATAGAGAAAGTTCTTTGTAGACTACAGAAGACTACGAAACTGATATTAAATGGAAAAATAGAGGAAGATTTCATGTTTGTTTTCAAAAGCCTGAACGGAGTGAAAAGTGGCAATGTCAGTGATTTGGGCAGTTAGTTCAAAGTCAAGTACAAGAATCAATTATTAAAAATGGAGAAATGCCTTTTGAACTAATTCTCTACTTCATTTTAAAAAGGTGATATTATGGAAGAAGGTATCTGAGTCTAATTTGTAAATATTTTATTTTAAGTATGAGATTAGGAATTGGAACTGACCATACATTTTTTTGTCATTTCTTGTTTGTATGAACCTTACTGTTGGTGTCCGATTATTCTATTTTAAGATTAAAACTATTTAGATATGTCACTAAGTACATTGTAGTTGGTGCACAAGTCCAATAGTGTATTAAGCCAGCTTCTCAATGTGCTGCACTGTAGGCCTCACTAAGTGATCACTTGGTGTCTTGTAGCAGAAAGAGACTGGCAGTAAGTGCCCTGAAGTTCTGAGCACTGCAAGGTGTTACATTTAGTTAATGTTTTATAGTACACCTCAAAGAGGATACCACTAACCTCTTGAGTTTCTGGTCCCAGAATATTGTCTGAATATTGAATAATGTTATCATCCTAATTGTCTGAATTTGGTGACAGTTTTTGAATATTAATTTATTGGACCAGATGAAAGAATATCTGCTTATCGGGCCTTCAGTGATAGTAGTGAGGTCCAAATGGTGTTTCTGGAATTGCTTTGGAAATAACGACATTTTATTTTAGAAAATAGACATAACCTCTGAAGCAGTGGCAGAAGTATACAGTTTTGGAAGATGGCTAAACTAAAAACTAAAGCAGTCTTCCCATATGAAGCATGTAATTCACACATTCTCTTTATTAACTTACACTTTCATTGTTGTTTCTTAAAGTTTACATAATGGAGTTTATAAGAGAAGTTCAGAAGGATAATTAGATCCTAATCTTGCATACTTCTATCCACCTACTGTATGTGACAGAGTTTTTTTATGTGATACAAAAAATACTTTTGAAACAGTGGCTATCAAAAGCATTTACTCTCCTTGGAATTTTCACATTGTTATTGTTACAATATGGAATCATAATGTATTTAATTGGAATTTTCTGCTTTTGAGCAACACAAAACACTCTATAATGTCAAAGTGAAAACAAAATTCTACAGATCCTCCTAAATCATGCCCACTTCCCCATTTACACCTTCGCAGCAAATTCCTTAGCTAACCATCACAATAGTGAAGGGGGTTTGGGCAGCTTATCCAGCCTTGGATAGGTGAGCCTTACCAAATACATTATGCATATTCATCTTTCATTAGGATCTAACTGAACTACTGAAGAGACATTCAGCAAAAGAATGCTGTAAATGAAACCAGAAAATTAAATTGACGGTTAAAATCAAGTTAAATTTGAATTCCATCTTAAAAAATGGATTGAAATGTGTATTGTTCAGTATTTATTTGAAGTCTCAATGCTAGTTCACGATGTACAAGCTTCAGATTGGTTCCTTTCAGGGATCTCCTGAGCACTGTTTGTATTTTCTAAATCAGAACATTCAGGTTTAGTTGTTAGCTGCAGCACCTGCGGTGAAGTGTGTCATTTATATCATTGAAAAAGTATCAGATGTTAGTCTGGAATTCTTATTTAGATTTCTGGATTAGTAAGTCACCTGGGGACACTAAACAGACTGTTATTTATTTTATCATTTCTTGTTATCGCATCATGGAATGATTAAAAAGTTTCTCTGATGTCAGCTAGCGAAACAGCTGGTGTTGACACTGCCCTCAGGCCTTCTGCACCTGCGGGGGTTTCACTTTGTCCACAGTGTTGTACTAGGAAGCAGGTATTATTCATAATACACTCTAAGGAACCCGAATATATGAATACAGTATATACTGTATGTATGTGTATGTCTGTAAGAAGGCAAGAAAGACATGGATACTATAAAGAACTGGAGAGAGCCTGAGAAAGCCTGAGCCTTATTCACACTGGAGCCCAGCATGAGTTTGCCCTTACTTCAGCACAGGTCATAATGTGCTGTGGCTGTGATCTGCAGCAACCTAGGGGAGAGAACAGGCGGGAACAGGGAGGAACTGACAGAGGAATCTGAGGTATATGAGAAGCAGCAACCTCACTGTCGTCAGGTCAATATTAGGAAAAGGTCTGTTTGCTCAACTTTTTTTTAACCTTAATGGTTAATGTTTTTTTTATATATATATACTGAAATCATTGTATTAAGTTTTATATGGAAACCTTGCTATAGAAATCAAGTATTGATTTATTCCAAATTCTGCTTCCGGGGCACTGATATTAATTAAGGCTGCAGTGGAATGAGGGCTTTCAAAGTAAGATCTTTCCTCACTGCTCTGTATTAAAATGTATTTTAATGTTTGTAAGGTCAAAAATGTAAATGTGTAGACATAGATGTGTGATAAAATTACTATAAACTGTAGTCTAAATTTGGAAAACTTGAATATAGTATGTTCACAGTACGTTTTACTCAAGTAAGTCATTCACCAATTTAATTAATCTTTCAGTGAATGTATGTTTTAATTTAGTGGTTCAAATGCAGCTCAATACTACCACAGCTGTGTGAGCTGAAAAAAAGCAATGAGGAGGCGGTCATTGTGTAATGTAGTTTAAATCAGTCTGCTTCCATCCGTTAGCTGTGTGTGCAAGACAACACTTAGTAAGAAGAAGATGCAAAGATGATGTCAGATACACTGTTTCTTTCTAAAATCAAGAGATTTCCTAAATAGTCTTGTCTTGCCATGTAACCCTGTAAGGCTCAAACACGAAACAGAGAAAGACTTGGAAGGAAATCTTGTAATTGTGAAAATGGAAAGGATCTTCAGTCTAATTTCTCACATGTAATGTTCTAAGATTCAAACTGTCAGTTTAAGATTGCTAATAGAAGTTTTTATTGTGTTGTTCACATCACATCACCTTCAATTCAATTCAGGGTCATGGTGGCCCAGAGCCCATATTATATTGTTATTGTTCTTTATTACTATGGGATATGCAGATTAGTTGTGTTTTCAAACAATAACCTTTCTATATTTATTGAAATGCTCTTGACAAAGTGCCTTCCTTTAGTGGGGCGTGTAATAGAACAGAGCCAAATAAAAGGGAATAACACCTTAAAGCTTCTTTCAAATTGAAATGACATTTGTTCATGCAGATTGGCAAATGGAATGCATCACTTTTAAAAGAGCAAACACATTCAATGTCCTCAAATTACTGTATGAATCAATTGAGTTGTGGGTGGAATTGTTAGAGCAATGGTCACATTGAGAGTATTTCAAGCACTTAAAGCGAGACCAGGATAGGGTTGTACAGTAAATGCCGGTCAATGGCAAAGGATTTGTTTAAACTATTATATAAAGTGTGTTTAAAGTAACTAGTGTAACTTTTCTATATTTTTTGAGGGAATGACATAGGTTCAGACCCATGTG